TAATAACAGCCCCTCCCAGCCCGTTCAGAAATCAGGCCGCTGCCGCGAAACTGTTGCAATTCAAACAAACCGCAATGCTGCCAAGTCATTCCGCACATTGTTTTGCTGAATACTCTTTGAATGCATTGAATGAAGTAATATATGTATGTATGTGTGTATATGGACTTTTGCTTCTTAACTGCTTTAATTGGCCTAGAGCTATGTGAATATCTGCTAGTTTACTGTGCTCAGCAGTTCAATTACATTAAGAAAACAATTAAATATAATACATATTCATAAGGGTACATACATATGCATATGCTTGCATTGCATTTAAGTTAACATGAGGGTGCTCATAAACAGGGCGTTAGCAGAGTTTGCTCATTTGCATATCAGCCGCGTGAGAGCATTAACAGCAAATTACACTGTTAAAAGGGACAGTATTCCACAACTATACATATCAGAGCCGTAACAGAGCTTAACAGAACAGCGACAGAAATGAGCAGCGCCTCAACTGAGCAGTGCCTAATCAGAGCAGCGCCTCAACAGAAAAATGCCTAATCAGAGCAGCGTCATAGCAGAGCAGCATCGTAATAGATTATAGCATTAGCAGATCAGATCGTAAGCAGAACTTTGCAGAGTAATTTAGAGTAATTGAGTTAGTGTCTGTTAACAGTGGTTGAGCATCTTTTCATTGGTGGGCTACAATAGCAGAGCACACACTTGACTGATGGTCTGACTCTCTTAACAGCGAACAGAGCAGATCGTTAACAGCGCCAAATCGTTGACAGAAGTAAATTCTTATTGGATAGCAGCTTTGACTGATACAACTGTTTAAATTAAATAAAGCAGTTTAAATTAAATTAAATTAAATTATAATAATTTTGAAAAAATTTGAAAAATGTTTGCAGCTAAGCAAAATTCGTATTCAATATCTAAGAGCTTATCAGGTAAGTGTATAAAAACTGCGTCGGTTGGTCTCACGCACCCAATGGTCATGCAACATGGTGCATGGTGGCCGGGTGGCTCGGCCTGCACAATTATTAATGCGTTGTGTGATTTGTCGCTTAATCGCATCGCGTTTTACATAAGGCGTCAGCAATTGAGCTGCAATTCACAATTCGAGCAAACTGAGCAAACTTAATTCCAGCTTGACTCGGTCTGTCTGGGCCCGATAAGTTCGCCTGATAAGCTTTGACATTTCCTGGGCGACTAGCTATCGCTAACTGGCAATCGGCTATTGGCTATTGGCGATTGGTAACTGGTAGCGGGCGCCTTTGGCCACGTTGCGTATACGCAGCATTGCCCAAGCCAAGAAAATTTATGAAACTTTCAACAGCTGCGATTTTTGAGTGCTGCAACTAATTGCTGCATTTAAGCGCAATTTTCTGCGCATATTCAATTAGCCTGAACAACTTTTTAGTTTTTAGCAACTAAGCTAGCTATTTTAATATATTAAGTTTTAACTTAATTAGTGTGGCATTTACAGAGAGTGGTTGGTAAAGCTTTGACGTTCTTATAGCCTTGGAGAATCAAGATAGAGTTTACTTTCATAAATGCAATGAATGTAAATGAATGAAAAGCTTCCTTAAGAAACAGATCCTGAATTGAAATCTTTATAAGTCAAGTTAGCCAAGTTGATAAAATTCAGATAGAACACTTTAAGTTGCACTAAATTACTTAAGAGTATAGATATATATCTACTTATATAGTCGTCAGTATGCTCGCCTAATAAATAATTCGCTTGTCTACGTCCACTTAGAATCCACTTAGAATCAAAAAATCTCACTCAACTACAGCTGGAACTATGTTCAGCAACAGCTATCTTTCTCTCTCTCTCTCTCTGAAACTATGTTCAGCAACAGCTACCTTTATAACAGTGCACTGGCATTGCTGTAACAGTAGACTGTTAACTTTACAGTAGCACTCCCAATTATGTTAACGATACGATATGTACAAGTAAGTATGTATGTATATATATTTATTCCCGATCAATTTGAGTTGACTCGAGTGCTGCCTGTCCGTCCGTTCATATGCTCGCCGCTAGCAAAATCAAGATAAATGTATGAGGGCTATAGAGAAAAAGAGGGATATCAGTTTATTACGCATTCAACGATAAATGATTTGCTATTCCTATTGTCTAGTTGTTTAAGCATAACTAAAAAGCTTGATCCAATTGACCTAAAATGTGCATAATAAGTTCAGTTAGAATATAAACATTGTCGGGTAAGTCTTGCTCTTCCCAGGTCCCTTAAAGTGCACACAATATTCAAATTGATGGGCAAATGTTAATAATTTGAGCAGTCATTGTTCTTATGTGTCACTCACAGACAGATGAGTTTTCTTTGTGTGCGCCAAAAGTGTCTGTAAATGGCATCAGAAGTCGACTTAACGCTGAATGGAAAACTGTTTACAAAGATAAATGTTCAAGTTGAGGCACCGCCTTTGGCCTTAACTGACTGCCAAATACTCTATAAAGCTGTGTAAATCTGGGTCAGAAAATTCGCTTTATTGCTGCTACCGCAACGACTCGATCAAGAGAGATCATTATGATGATAAGTGCAATGAAATATTTCATATAATATATATCTCATACTCAATCTCTCTCTTCTGTTCACTATTTTTGTTTTTCATTTCTAGCTCTCTCTCTCCGTCTCTCTGTCAGTCTCTGTCTCTTCCTCTGTCTTTCGATTACTATGTATTCATCCTTTCTTTCTCTGTTTTTCTATATATTTGTCTCTTTGTCACCGTTGAGTTTCCATTTCTTTCTTAATTAATTAAGAAAATGAATGTAAAATAAATGTGTAAAAATTGAGTAAAATATATATATATATATATTTGTTTAAGAAAATAAGAAATTTAACAATAAAATATTCTATTTTCTTTTTTCATTTTAATGCTGTTCAAGAAATGATTTTAAAACGCTATTTCGCATTAAAGAAGAAGAAGCACAAGTAAGAAAAAAAGTACAAAAAACCTTCATATTCCTAATCTTGTTAGCCATAAAAGCCGTCACCCAGACCCAGAGCTAGAGCCAGAGCCAGAGCCAGGTCCAGAGCCTAGAGCAGTCGCCTCAAGGCAAAGTAGAAAAAAGTCTATATGAATACATACATGCATATAACAGACATACACGTATGTTTGTGTGTGTGTATGTGTGTACTACAATACAAAAACCCACAATAAATAAATGCACAAAATTTCACAACAAATTAATACACACACACACATTCAGATACCCACACACCGTCACGTTGTGGGTATCATTTGTGGGCGTGTCTAGCGGCCTAAACGATTCTATCCAATTCTATTCATGGAATAATACAGAGTATGACAAAAAAAAAAAAAAAAAAAAAAAAAGGTAGAAGAGGCAGAGATGCGTGGGCAAGAACGAAGTGGAGATACCCTAACATTTAACATTGAAATTTGAATTGTTGAATAAATAATGCCTTAGATAAGATATGGGAGCTATGTGAAAATAGATTTATAGATATCGATTGACTTGAGGATATACAGAGCAACTGTTGCAAAGGGCAGTGAGAGGAGACAGGGCGAAAAGGAACAACACTCGATGTTAAATTACAGCAGAATCCAGTTATAGCGACACTCAAGGGACGCTACAAGCGAAGTCGTTATAATCGGACTCAACTGTATATAGAAATAGAATATATGTTACATATTCATAGGAGCGTACTAAATACTTAAAATGGCCTAAAAAGCCTTGATATAGAATCCTCTGAACTTTAAAGGGCTGTCCATTGCGACGGATCTGGCAACCATAAAGGTTGTCCACATTCAGTTTGGTTTTTTTTTAGGTTTTTTTTTTTTTTTATCAAAGAAAAACACAATTTTTTTATGTTGACGATGATAATCATTTTCTTTGGCTCAAGTGGGTTTATTGACATCACTTTTTGAATATGATATCTCTCAAATGGCCGCCTTGAGCTTGTATTGTGCTCGTCCTGTCAAAAGATATAGGGTTGCCAGATGGATCTAACTCAAGCCGAAGAGCTCTGTGGCAAATACTTTAAAAACTAAGTTAGTTTTGATTTCATATTATCTCCAAACTCCAAATAAAAAATAAATCAAATCTGAGCTGCTTAGTAAAGCTTAAACTAAGACTTATGTGAGATAAAAACCAGTTAGCATATAGAATGATAAGGTATGTTAGACATACATATATTGAATTTTAAAGAATATTTGATATGGAAAATAAACAAATTTGGGAACTCGTCATTAGGTCTGCCGATTGGAATAAAAAGAAAACAAAATGCAGAATTGTAAACTTATTTCTTATATTTCTTATGCTTTTTTATTAGATTTGGATTTAAAAATATATATTGTGAACTTTGAACATTTACATAGAAAATTATTTTGGAATTTTGAAAAGATATAGTCACGTTCATTCGCTTCAATACGAAACCGAAATACACTCCCCACGGCTCAGTTCCTAACAAAATGTCAAATAATCTACACCGAAATCTTTGCATCGGGGGGCGTGAGCTATTGTTGTTGTTTGTTGTTATTCGTTGTTTTTCGTTGTTGCTTGTTGTTGTTATGGGTAGGTGTGGCACTTTTGCTTATTGATTCCGAAATTGAAGGCTGAATTTTAATGTGTTTGGCGCTGTATCTAGAAGCACTTATCTCTAGATGTACAGCTACAGATACAGGCAGATATATATATATATATGTATGTATATGCATATTGACTATGCCGGACGCCTTGCTAATGGGGCGTTACGGCACGCTCAGCATCGCCGGCAATTTGTGGCAATGAGCCGTGCCACGCCCATCACGAAGTGGGCGCATCAAGTGCTTTTCGAGTACAAATTCAATTGCTCGGCCTGTAATTAAGCTGTTGGGCGCCACCTGGCGGTCAAGCGACAAATTGCGAGCTCATCAAGTGGAATTATTTTATTTTGGGAAAGCGAAAATGAGCAAAATGAAGATTGAGAAAAGCGACTTATTAATTGACGCAAATAGGATCCGCTATTAATAGCAGTGAAAAGAACAATTTATTCAAATGGAGTCAGTATAAAAATATCAAATCGAGTTTATTTACAAATGTGTGTGAAATATAACTAATTGTAGACAAAGTCCTCTGCAGCCAGTTGTGTGTTCTATAAGCTAGTCTTGATATCATATATCACATTGATATGCAAATATAAAATAATAAATAATTGTAATATATGGGATAATAATATGCCATAAAAGAAGAAAATGGAAAGCAAGTCTCAGGTATGTATTAGCCATATGACTATTAGTTTGTTAAATATTATCAGGGAGATAATTCTTGATCTCGATGCCAAAGGAAATGGAGAGTCAGTCTCAGCTATGTGACTGCTAAATGTGTTTAGTGTTAAATATTATCCGTGGGATAATTCTTTGCCTTGAAGACAATTCGATCACAAGAGGCTGATAGGTCCACTCTGGTATGAACAGGCCCACGATTCGCCCTTCTTCGATGATCATCAGTGAACATCCGGCCGGAGACGATGTTGTCCGCAGGCCAAATATAAATGCGAGCAATTGAGGCGCAGTTGAGATTTCGGCGTATTTTAACTCTCAGAAGGACTCGGCTGCTATGGGGTAGACCTTAACATGGCGAGCTGTGTTGCAAGCTGAGCTCGGTGTGGACTTGGGAAATTGTATTTGGTAGGATGCTGACTCGATTGATCTAGTTGGGATAGTTTGGCGCCTTCGTTGGCATCTCTTGCGTTTGAGATAGTTAGTGTGTGTGCGTTTCTTGCGCAGAATGTGGAAGACAGAAGTCGTGTGCCTGAAGTTAGAGGCGAGAGCAATCGGAAATCGGAGAGAGATTCGTTACTTTACTAATTGATCGTCGAGTTAGAGAACAGAGAGCGTACCAGGTAGAGCGAGCAAAGTTCAGTGGGCACTATGTGCGGCGCCTTAAGCTGACCAACTTCAACACCGGTACAACGTCCTCTCTTCACCTTCAGCACCTGGGCATAGATTTTGTTGAGAAAGAATGATAGCTCGATGCGTGAAGGAAATAGATTTTCTGGCCATCGTTCTTGATGCTCACATGGATAAAGCGTATAACAATCGATGAGAGCATGAATGCCGATGACACCGTTAAGTGTGAACAGTGTGTGAAAGCGATAGTACGAATATCCGGTGGATCCTCCAACTCGTTCAGTATGCGTGTTGAGTCTTCTCTAAAAAGATTGAAGCTTTGAATCAGTTATCAATTATCCGACTTATACGTACCTTGCGCATACAGCTCGTTGAGTGAATATATTTGGTTTGCTATATGTGTTTGCAGTTGAACTTGGAATCTATTTGCTGATTGTGAATATAATTCCATATAGTGCATAGATGGCGTATTTCGGTAAGTTACTATCGGAGCTTATCTGTATATCAAACTGAGATATATGTAGTTAGCATTAGTTTTTTATTATGAGCACTAACACTTACTGGGTCCGTGCTAAATCCCACCGATATATATAATTGTTGCTGGAGGTATCGACTCGCTCAACCCGAGTCTTGGTGCAGCATTTGTGGAGCCTCTTCAGCTATCAAAAATTGAAGGGAACTAAGTCCCTGTAGTGTGCAAATTAAAATGTGTGTTCTCTGGAATGGAAGATAACTTAATTCCTGGAGAATGAGATTGTGCGTTCCCTGGAAAATTGAAGGGAAATTAAGTCCCTGTTGAGTGCAGATGAAAATGTGTCGTTATCTATAACAATCTGAGCTTTCTTACCGCTGGCGCTAGCGTGGATACCGCCGACTTTTTTTTATCTGTTTGTGCTATCTTCATTTGACTTCCAATAACTGTTAATTGCAAAGAAATATTTATATATTTCAGCCTATTAATTATCCCTGATTAGATTCCATTTGCGATTCCATTTCTATTGCGACTTTAACCTGCCTTATTTGCTATTGGCATCTGTTTTTTGGCTGTGGACTTTGTTTTAAATGTTTGCGTGTCTGTCGTTGCCGGCGCTTCATTGCTCTGGGGCTATTTTAATAGGAATTAGCGTATTTATGACTAATCCACATTAATTTCTTACCACCGTCAACGACTTGCTAGCAAGAGTTTACTTTACAGGCCTTGTCACCCCAAGAGGATTTGTAAGCATAACGATGTTCGGCATGGGCTAATCAAGTAAGTGGAGTGTACCGATTAATAGCAGGGCACTAGTATCTCAAGTTGATACTGTATTAGATCTCAGGCATGTCATATGGGTGCTTGGCTTTCATTGGAGTTATTTGCGCTAGGGGATTTTGCTGAGCTTTGGGCATGGGCTGTGAAACAGACTGAAACATTTTAAGGAATTATGTCAAATTAGGTCTTGAATGATTGGATAGTCAATCTGTTAGGTATTTACCTTTTGGGGCATGGAGAGCTCATTTTTGGCAACGAACTTATTGTCTATGGGTAATCTTCCATCTGCTTGAACTGCACGACTTGGTTGGGTTTGATTCAGCGAAGCCTATTTAAATACAAATTAATATTAATTTCCTAGATCTGTTGGCATTCTTACCGCTGTTAGGGGTCTGTTCGGTACAATGTGACTGGACGGCTTTGGCGGGTTGAGTGAGAGCTTACTGATCTTTGGGCCGACCTAATCAAATAAAATGAAAATCTGGCACGATAGCAAAAGTTTAGCAATATTACCTCATACGGTTCTGGCTTAGATTGATTAATTGAGAAGCGTTTCCTGACGTTACTAGCATTTGCTTTCAACATCGGCTTCTTCTTAGGTTGGCCACACGCGGATTCGTTGTTGCTGGGCTCCACAGCTGACAGGAATGATAATAATGAGTCGCGTGAGCTGTCATCCCAACCCAACTTAGCCTCGATCTTACGTTGATCTGCCGGCGACCGATCGTTGCCAGAATTTAAACATGACTTAAGTAGATTATAGGGGGTTTCATGCAAATCCGAATCCGTTGTTATCCCGCCCATATTTTGCTGATTACCCGGCTGCGTTTGTCTGCTATGCTGATCCTTCTCCCTGTGTCGCTCGATGTCGGTGTCCAAAAACGCAAGTGCCGAGAAAAATGCATTAATCTGATGTATAGTGGCCCTTATCATGAAGGATGGCGGCTTGCAGGCTGCGTCCATGTATCGCCGAAATGCTTCTATTGTCTTTTCATCCCATTTGAAGATCGTTTTCCTTCTACTGACATCCATGTCGTAGTTATGATCCAAATAGGGCCAGAACTTTTCGAATGGGTTTTCATCCGGATGTGACGTGTCCACCTCGCCTTTACCCTCCAACAATGCCCAAAATTGATCTAATGGGGACTCAGGCGATATCGGATTAGGCAGATCAGTAGTATCAGCCGTGGTTAGCAAAACGTCCGAGCTTCCATTCGGTATCGAATTCGCTTCTCTATTATACCTTATTTCTATATCCCCATCTTTGGTCATAGTTATTAAATATTTCGCTGGCTTTTTAGGGCACGCCTTGTCTGCAACATTTCCCTCACAAGGCTTTATAAAGGGATTCGTATTTGAGGCTGCACACAATTCCCTTCTCGCAGCACCATACAGGTCCTTATTTTGTCTGGGCTCTTCAATTTGCTTGATTCGATTTTCAAGCACATTCTCTGGAGTGGGCGCAACCTTTTCGCATAGTGGCCTTTTGTCAATGAGAGCGCTTATTTGATTCACATTGAATTCCGGGAAAAATTGCTTCTGAGTAATATTTTCTCCTTTTTTCTGTAATCGTTTGGTGTTGGCCAATGGCTTAACACTTGTTTGCTGTAAATTATTTGGAGCCAACTTTGATTTCTTATATGGTGGCAACTCCAAAATCTCAATCGAATATATCTCAGAATTTTCAGTTGTAATTTTCCTTTTTAAATCTTTTTCAACCTCACCTCTCGCTGTATTTTGCGAGTCAAGTTTCGACTCGAGTTGTCCAATTTTGAAGCTAGGCGTTATGTTTTCCTTTGTCGCTTGAGAGAGATTTTCTGGCTGTGTAGTCTCCTGTTGCGCAGTTTTTAGGGAGTCTAAGGTCCTATTTTCAACCTGAACATTATTATTTTGTTTCCGATTGTCGGTTCTGGTTGATATGAATCTCCAAAATCTCGAGCTGGGCACATGCAACTTCTTGACTTTTTGTATTTGCTCTACCTTTTCCTTGGCTGAACTTTCCGGAATGTTCATATTATCTGACGATAGAGTAACTTTTCTTGCCGTTGATTCAAGCTCTGCTATTTTTATGTCACCAACGCGCGTTTGCTGCACTGCTGCCTGAAGGGGAAGAATCTCGTGCGTTCCTTGTTTTTCAGATAATGTACTCTCCATATTATTTTTGTTTTGAGCCTCGCAGTTTTTGTCTACTTTGCTTTCAGGCTGTTTAGGCAACGGATGTGCTGTGAGTTGCGAGTTCTTTAAAACATATTGTTCTTTTAGAGTTGGGTTACTCTCAACGGAAGCTTTCGGTAAACATGATCCCTTGAACGATCTTTCCCCACTGCCAGCTAGCTCTCTCTGTTTATTCTCATGACTTTCCATCATATAGGATCTTTCCAGATTGCCAGCTAGCTCTCTCTGTTTGGGTTCAGGACTTTCTGCCTTATAGGATTTTTCCACACTGCCAGCTGGGTCTCTCTGTTTATTCTCATGACTTTCTGCCTTATAGAATCTTTCCACACTGCCAGCTGGGTCTCTCTCTTTATTCTCATGACATTCCGTCGTACAGGATTTTTCCAGATTGCCAGCTAGCTCTCTCTTTTTAGACTCATGACCTTCCGTCATATAGGATCTTTCCAAACTGCCAGCTGGCTCTCTCTCTTTATTCTCATGACTTTCCGTCATATAGGATCTTTCCAGATTGCAAGCTAGCTCTCTCTGTTCAGGTTCAGGACTTTCTGCATTATAGGATCTCTCCACACTGCCAGCTGGCTCTCTCTCTTTATTCTCATGACTTTCCGTCATATAGGATCTTTCCAGATTGCCAGCTAGCTCTCTCTGTTTAGGTTCAGGACTTTCTTCATTATAGGATCTCTCCACACTGCCAGCTGGCTCTCTCTCTTTATTCTCATGACTTTCCGTCATATAGGATCTCTCCACACTGCCAGCTGGCTCTCTCTCTTTATTCTCATGACTTTCCGTCATATAGGATCTCTCCACACTGCCAGCTGGCTCTCTCTCTTTATTCTCATGACTTTCCGTCATATAGGATCTTTCCAGATTGCAAGCTAGCTCTCTCTGTTCAGGTTCAGGACTTTCTGCCTTATAGGATCTTTCCACACTGCCAGCTGGCTCTCTCTGTTTATTCTCATGACTTTCTGCCTCATAGGATCTTTCCACACTGCCAGCTGGCTCTCTCTCTTTATTCTCATGACATTGCATCGTACAGGATTTTTCCAGATTGCCAGCTAGCTCTCTCTTTTTAGACTCATGACTTTCCGTCATATAGGATTTCTCCACACTGCCTCCTGGCTCTTTCTGTTTATTCTCATGACTTTCCATCGTACAGGATCTTTCCAGATTGCCAGCTAGCTCTCTCTGTTTAGCCCCATGACTTTTAGTCTTATAGGATCTTTCCAGATTGTCAGCTAGCTCTCTCTGTTTATTATCATGACTTTTTGCCTTATAGGATCTTTCCACACTGCCTCCTGGCTCTTTCTGTTTATTCTCATGACTTTCCATCGTACAGGATCTTTCCAAACTGCCAGCTGGCTCTCTCTCTTTATTCTCATGACTTTCCGTCATATAGGATCTTTCCAGATTGCAAGCTAGCTCTCTCTGTTCAGGTTCAGGACTTTCTGCATTATAGGATCTCTCCACACTGCCAGCTGGCTCTCTCTCTTTATTCTCATGACTTTCCGTCATATAGGATCTCTCCACACTGCCAGCTAGCTCTCTCTTTTTAGACTCATGACTTTCCGTCATATAGGATCTTTCCAGATTGCCAGCTAGCTCTCTCTGTTTAGGTTCAGGACTTTCTGCCTTATAGGATCTTTCCAAACTGCCAGCTGGCTCTCTCTCTTTATTCTCATGACTTTCCGTCATATAGGATCTTTCCAGATTGCAAGCTAGCTCTCTCTGTTCAGGTTCAGGATTTTGTGCCTTATAGGATCTTTCCACACTGCCAGCTGGCTCTCTCTGTTTATTCTTATGACTTTCTGCCTTATAGGATCTTTCCACACTGCCAGCTGGCTCTCTCTGTTTATTCTCATGACATTGCATCGAACAGGATTTTTCCAGATTGCCAGCTAGCTCTCTCTTTTTAGACTCATGACTTTCCGTCATATAGGATTTCTCCACACTGCCTCCTGGTTCTTTCTGTTTATTCTCATGACTTTCCATCGTACAGGATCTTTCCAGATTGCCAGCTAGCTCTCTCTGTTTAGCCCCATGACTTTTAGTCTTATAGGATCTTTCCACACTGCCTCCTGGTTCTTTCTGTTTATTCTCATGACTTTCCATCGTACAGGATTTTTCCAGATTGCCAGCTAGCTCTCTCTGTTTATTATCATGACTTTTTGCCTTATAGGATCTTTCCACACTGCCAGCTGGCTCTCTCTGTTTATTCTTATGACTTTCTGCCTTATAGGATCTTTCCACACTGCCTCCTGGCTCTTTCTGTTTATTCTCATGACTTTCCATCGTACAGGATCTTTCCAGATTGCCAGCTAGCTCTCTCTGTTTAGGCTCATGACTTTTAGTCTTATAGGATCTTTCCACACTGCCTCCTGGCTCTTTCTGTTTATTCTCATGACTTTCCATCGTACAGGATTTTTCCAGATTGCCAGCTAGCTCTCTCTGTTTAGCCCCATGACTTTTAGTCTTATAGGATCTTTCCAGATTGCCAGCTAGCTCTTTCTGTTTATTCTCATGACTTTCCATCGTACAGGATCTTTCCAGATTGCCAGCTAGCTCTTTCTGTTTATTCCCATGACTTTCCATCGTACAGGATCTTTCCAGATTGCCAGCTAGCTCTCTCTGTTTATTATCATGACTTTCTGCCTTATAGGATCTTTCCACACTGCCTCCTGGTTCTTTCTGTTTATTCTCATGACTTTCCATCGTACAGGATTTTTCCAGATTGCCAGCTAGCTCTCTCTGTTTAGCCCCATGACTTTTAGTCTTATAGGATCTTTCCAGATTGCCAGCTAGCTCTCTCTGTTTATTATCATGACTTTCTGCCTTATAGGATCTTTCCACACTGCCTCCTGGCTCTATCTGTTTATTCTCATGACTTTCCCTCGTACAGGATCTTTCCAGATTGTGTAGCTCTCTCTGTTTATGATTTTCCGCCTTATTGTATCTTTCCAGATTGCCAGCTGGCTCTATCTTTTCGGTAACTGATGGCTGTCTAGGCTCATGGCTTTCCGTTTTATAGGATATTTCCAGATTGCCATCTTGATATTTCGGGACGGGAGCTGATGGCTGCCTGCGATCATAGCGTTCCGTCTTGATCGATCTTTCCACAGCTAGATCTCTTTGTTCGTTAACTAACGGTTGCTTCACTTCATATCCCCTCGTCCGGTACGATCTGTCCCTATAGCCTTGATATTGGTGAGCAGCAACTGAAGGCTCCCAATCCTTATATCCTTCCACTGTGGGAGCTTGGTCTCTCGGTATAGGTGGCCTTCTTGGTATATAATACTGTGGTGCATGCTGGTGTGGTACATATTGGTGTGGTGCATGCTGGTGTGGTGCATATTCGTGTGGTGCATATTCGTGTGGTGGAAATGGGCGTGGTGCATATTCGTGTGGTGCAAATGGGCGTGGTGCATATTGGCGTGGTGCATATTGGTGTAGTGCATATTGGTGTGGTGCTAATGGGTGTGGTGCATATTGGTGTGGTGCATATTGGTGTGGTGCAAATGGGCGTGGTGCATATTGATGCGCAGCATTTCGATGCCGGACATGATGCTGCGGTATATATCGCGGTACGAATTGATCCGCAGCGTACTGCGGCACATATTGATGTGGTGCAAATTTTGGTGCTGCATATTGGTATGCATACATATGACGCATCTTCTCTTGAAGGGCCACTTCGGCCGAGGTCCATTCATATTGGTTTGGCACCCGATGAAATCTTCGGTTTGGCTGGCTTTCTGTAATATCACTAACATCTCCATAATTTGTTATTTCTCTTTTCATATGTTTCTGATAATGTTCCGTCATTTCCATTGCTTCCCTAGAGTTAGGGTTACGCTCATAGCGCTCTGCATTATACTCATGCTCCGCCTGAGTGCTGCTCTCAGCTTTGCGTTTCTTTGGAATTCTCCAACGTGGTTTCTTATCAGGAGTTTCCCTAATATCATCATTGTTCGGCGCTAGATTTCCGTCCGGTTGAATTTGTTGCTCTTCCGCCTGAGTGCTGCTCTCAGCTTTGCGTTTCTTTGGAATCCTCCAACGTGGTTTCTTATCAGGAGTTTCCCTAATATCAGTATTGTTCGGCGTTATATTTCCGTCCCGTTGAATTTGTTGCTCTTCAATCAATTTAGTTTTATTCGCGATCTCCTTCGCGTTTACCTTTTCAGGCTGATAGAAAGCATGGTATAAGTTAAGATAAATAACTAAATGCATTCGTTATCTGATTTACCTTTACAGTAGTTGAAATATATCTATGTTCTGAAAATTTCTTAGCTTCATCCTCATCTTCATACTGTTTAATCTGAAACTCGGACTTCGGGGAATTTTCGCTCTTGATTGGATATTGTTCCATATTTTCAGTAACCGACTGGCGATTTATTTGCCTATCCTGGAAATATATATTATTTCCATTTTTTACTAAGTTTCGCCAAGTATTAAACTTTCATTTACCACCAACAGGTATATACCATGTTGTCCATTGGAATTCTGCATCCTGAAGATGTCTCCAGTTTTACCACATCTCCTTCCTGAGTTTGACTTCTCTTAGCCTTAGGTGGGTTGTCTTCTATTGGCTCCTTAGCTGCTGAGGCGGACCCCTCGTTGCTCAAAGATTGAACGTGGCTCTGAGTGGTATTATTAAATTCACTTATATAGGTAGATGTAGGAATATTTAGTTCAAGTTACCAATGTTTGCATATCTGGTTTTATATCGACATCGTCATGATCATCGGCAACATCGTCATCATCGGCATCATCATCATCAGAATGCTAGAATATAATATGTTTATATAATTAAATTTTCTGTTTCATACATTATTAAAAAATCATCAACTAGAAAATATTTTTTCTTGACTTTTAGGCGTTTCTTTTTATGCCCCACTTCGATTGTAGTGTCATCGGGGAAACGTATCTTTTCAGTTAGAAATGCATATCCTCTATATCTCATTATATTTAAATATGATCCAATTTGATTCTTATTACGGTCAGTTTAGAGTTTGGTTTTAAGATTTTTATTCTTACTGTCCATATTTTCTTCTATCTTTTCAGTTATATCTTTGATAGGTTGTAATATCTTTGTATCCTCTAGAGTCTGATTATAATCTAATCCTAATCTGATATGATTATACTCTCTTATTCGTTCTATTATCGACGACAAGCAAAACTAATAAAATTAAAAATTAATACTAAAATTTATTTACCTTTAATTCATGTATCCTTAATTTGTCACGTTTCAAGGCAATATCTGTTTTCTGATGCTCTTTCTCGGTATTCACTTCCTTGGTATCATCGTATATCCATTTGTATTCGATCCTCTTTACTTTTTGTTTATCACTGGATTCTTGTTGGCTAAAAGTCATTTCCACTTGATCACTTTCTAGTTCTTCCCCAGGACTTTGCTATTTTTGAAAAGACATACGAACATATTTTATTTCAGATGAAAATGCAAGAATCACGTGAGATAAACTTGCTTACATTTTCTTTTTTAATATATTGTTGAGATGATGAAGCTCTCATACTTGAAAATCTGTACTTCTCAAAAAATGAGGTTCTATTTTCATTTGTCTCTTCTTCATACGGAAAATCTTGATGAATAATATCCTACAATGAGTAATAAGCGTACTTATATACATATGTATTCATTCGCTTTTGACATTTTATATCGTACCGTCATATAGTAATTTTGTATGCCTTCATTTTCAGATTGTCCAACAAACATTTTGAGGCTCTTCAATTTCTGAATATTCCTAAGACGGGTTTGCTGATGGATACCATTGTAAAAACAAGGATATACACGTTAAGCTTAGTTAGTAAAGGAATTGAGTTGTATGCAGGTGTTACCTTAGCAATCTCAAATTGACTTAATTGGGGTTCTTTGCTATTTTCTCCTTGTTTATGTCCGGCTTCAAAGTTGTTACTATTCTGAGGTCCGGTCAAGTTCGATTCGATTGAAGTTAGATTGAAGTCAGATGAATCAAATGATGCATCTAAACATGCTTGAGGAGCTTCTATTATTTGTGATGTGCTTCCGGGACTTCCCCATTGACGGGTCGCTTCAGTCTCGCATGGTTTAACATCTTGGACTATTTGCTGCACAAGAGAATAATAACGATTAATCTAATTGTAATTGCTTTTTGACTCAGTTTCTAGAAGCCTTACCCCCGATACAATATTTTCGGCACTTGTGTTTGTTTTTGATGCATAGTTCTCAGCAGTTAAGGATGGCTTTTCTTCACACAAAACTTCATAGCCTTGTGAGTTCGATCCTCGCATATAATCAGGGTATTCTCTGACATTTTCATCATAATCGTTTGTTAACGGCTTTGATTCGAGAACAACTTTCTGTTAATGAGCATAGCAGTTCGTGACTTGAATATGTATTATGTATTATTATGACGAAAACTATCCTTACCACCGGCGTGTTGCTATGCGTAGATTGTGGTGAGGCTATGTCAGAACTGCTCTGATCAATAATCTCAAGTTGTTTTTCTAAATTCGCCTTAAACGCTTGCAAAGTATCGATGTCGATTGAAGCTATATTGTCTTCATCTATTGGAATAAACGGAGGAGGCATATTCAATTCGCCGCTTTCAATCTTTAATTGATTTCCCAGCAAGTTTTGAGATTTACTTTGAATTTGCTGTGATACGAAAAATTGATTTAATTTTTTCATCATTGTGTGTCATCGCGTGAAATAAAATTATATATATTTTCGACTCGCTACCCTAGCTAAGCCTATATATGCTTATATGCTTACCTGTAGCAGCTTCTTAGTTTTTCGCTCTTGTTTTTCCATATACCTTTTTTTATTCCTCTCTTTATATTTCATGACTGCAAGCTGATCCAATTTATTCTGATTTCTCAATTCTTCCTTGGGCTGCTGTAATACCATTAACTGCTGTATCATCATTAAGCCGTCTTCCGATCCGGCTGCCTCATTTTCATGTCTATCCTTTGTAACATTTATGCAGGCTGTATTTTCAATTTCCATGAATTCAGCCATTTTTGTTTTTTCTGACTTACTTGATTGTATCTGTCGAAAAATGATGATGATTACATAAATTAGTGTTTTTCTGACATACTTGGATTTATCTGTCAAAAGTTCCAAATGATTAAATTAATTTGTGCGTGTTTTTTTTTTTTTTTTTTTTTTGACTTGGATTTATCTGTCAAAAATTCGAAGTAATAAAATTAATAGGCTATAAAAACCCTTACCTCTTGAGAAGCTTGAAGAACTGGCCTATACGCGCCTGCATAGGAAACTTCTGGTCTATTTGAGTCAATAGCCCCAGCTTCCGGCTTAATTCCTTGCATTTGCATCATCTTTATGTTATCATCAGATAAATTTAGCTGCTGGGCTGCTTCCTTCATTCCAAATGCGAGTGAATCACGATTTATTGCTTTCTGCAAATTTTCCGCAGTTGGTTCACACGGTTGCTTCTGAAAGAAATTTTTAGGAAAATCGGCCTGACGCGACTTATTTTCAAGTTGGACTATTTGGACAAGGTGCAACAATAATTGACTGGGATTGTATTGGGGACTTGCTGGGCTGTTATTATGCGGCAATTTATCTTCACTTACCTTTTCACCGTTCTCCATTGTTATTTCTAATTTATTGAAATTTAATTCTTCGTTGGCTGCAGTGTTTATTGGACACGTAAGACTTTTTTCGTCGTCGAGCTGCTTTTCAACAATAAATAAACCCCGATTATCCATTTCAAAATTATTTTCAAAATGCGAATTTAATTTTCTTTTTTCGATGTGCGTCTGACCGAAGGTTTTCACTTTATGAGAAACTGGGAGTAGACTATTTGTTGAGGTCGACAATTTCTCCAAGCCTACTTTGGATTCTTTTTCTGTATTTCTTTTCTTATGTTGTAAAGCTCTGTTGTCAAGTGAGAAACTACGTTTGCTAGATCTATGCTTTTGTTTGGCTGTGCGGTCAATCGGTGAGCAAAATTTATCGAATTTTTCTGGCGGAGGAATATTTTCCTGATTATTATCGTCGGAAAAATTTAATAGATTTTCATCCACTTCACTCGGTTTATTTATCGCTTCTGATTCGTCTGCTTTATGTAGATATTTCTATGGACAAATTATGGATAAATTCGATTCACATATTAGTCTAACCCGTTTTAATATCTTGGCTAAATTAAATTAAGTTCTTACCGTCTGCTTAGCTGTAGCCTGAGTCGCTTCCTCTTTAGGGTGTGGCAAATGTTTGTTGATGATATGCGGCATCTCCTGGAGGAGAAGGGAAGAATCCGTTGCAGTTTCATTTTTAATGAAATGTAAATATGATATTTCTTTATTTCGACGGCATTACCTGATTTGCTGCAACTGATACGATTTTTGTATTTTTTTCGGAATAGTTGAGTTTTGATTGAATGTCCTTCAATTGATCTACTTGTAACGATATGGTATCTGGAAAAAGAGTTCCGTACTCTCTGGCAGCATATTTTTCTGTTTCATTTGCAGTAAATTGGTTTGCTCTAGAAATCTGTTGCTGTACGTGGTTATAACTGGCGCAAGAGCTTTGCACTGGAATATTGTCAACTATATCTTGATTGATTGACATCTGAAATTGAAAATGTAAAAGAAAAAACAATTTTGAATAGTATATGTGGGTTCTATAAGCGGGAAGTTAAGCTTACCTTCTGTGGATCAATTAGGGATTCGGGACCTGTCTTTGAAATCTTTTCTAATTTTCTCTTTTTGTTTTTCTTGTTTTTAGGTTTATCCTGTTTTTGATCTAGTTCAACGTTCATGTTAGCTGATCCTTCGTCTTTCTGGGTTGCAATATATTCTTTTGATGAATTCAGAGATTCCACGCTTTTCTTTTTCTTATTTCCATCCTTCTTATCGACTGTTATAGGTTGCGTGGGGTTTTCGGGAATCTGTTCTATTTTTGTAGATATCTTTGCTTCATCTGGCTTTTTGTTTTTCATTTTTTTCGTCGAAACTTCCTGTAATTTCGGTGCATTTTTTTGTTTTTCTGAATTTGAAGGTATCTGTTTCAGGTTTTTTGTCATAGCCTTTTGTTTTTTAATTTGGTTAAGTGCTGGATGCACATTCGGCGTAGAGCTATGAGATTCATCTGATTTTTTCATTTCATTCTTATTATTTGATATTTGCTTGACATTTAATAGAACATGTTGCTTTTCAGACTCTGAGGATTTCTTAGGCATGCTTAAGTCTAACGGTTCTTCAGCGATTTGCTTTTCTAAAGATTTTAAACTATTATCGGTTGTTTCTTGCTCTGTTTGATGTTGAGAGACCTCATCCTGATCTTTGTTTGCTTCCCGCTTGGGATTCTTGCCAGATTTTGAAGAGGCGCTCTTGGATCGCTTTTCCTGTGAATTGTAGGGCTATAAACCAGGACTAACTTCTATATGTACTCTTACCTTTCGCGCTTTCTTATTATTAGAGACCGGCGTTTCAGTTATTTCAATATTATTGTCTGCTTCTTGTTGATTTACATCTTCATCCATGCACTCTGCTGTTCCCTTATTTATGTTGGCTGTTGAACTTAATAGCTTCTTTCTTGCCGGAGTCTTTTTAGCCTTTTCAGTTCTGCTCTGCTTATCGATATCTTGTGTCACGTCTTCCTTCTGCTCTCGTTCATCTTGTTGGCCTTTAGCTACATTCATTATCTCTTCATCCTTTGCCCCTGTTTTATCCTCCTTCCCAGTGACGTTTTTTTCCTTCACATTGGCCTTGACGATAAGCGCCAACTCTGAAAACGTTGGATTACTATTAGTCGATTGTTTTTAAGGAGTCTTACTGTTTTGTAATCTTCAAGTATCATATATTTGGCTTTGTGTGTATTTCATATTTAGCGCTCCTAGTCATTGGGTTTTTTGGTAGAACATCTTTTAAGCATTTATCTAAGCATTTTACATTTGCATTTTTAGTGTTTTTTACCTGGTTTTTTTGGTGCAACATTTTTTTTAGCTTTTGGGACTTTGGGTATATCGACTTCCTTCTCTGTGTCAGCTTGAGATACTTCATTTGTCATCTGTTCATTTTTCTGTGCGGTTTTAGGGCTGCCAGACTCTTTATTAGTTTTTGATTTCTTCTGGAATGGACGTAAAAATTACGATTTAGCATTTTAAGATATATACATATATACATATATACATATATACATATATACATATATACATATATACATATATACATATATACATATATACATATATACATATATACATATATACATATATACATATATACATATATACATATATACATATATACATATATACATATATACATATATACACATATACATATATGTACATACATATATACAGACATTTATGTATGCATATGTTTGAGGTCTTACTTTGTGACGATCCTTATTTGATTTATTTTTGTTTTTCTTTTTTTCTGATTTCCCGGAATCGCATTTACCATCTTCTTTCTCTGTTTTCTTTTCATCTGCAAGATCTTTAAGAGTGGCTCTTGGCACCTTGACCTTCCCCTCAGTCAATTCTGCTGTGGCTTCTCCATCTGACTTGTTGGCAGATGCCTCAGTTTTGCGCTCACCCTGTGCTGATTTTTCCTCACTTTCATTCTTTATAGTTGTTGTTTTTGTTCCTTGTGATGGACTTTTCTGTCGACGTTGTTTAGATTTCTTCTTTGAGCTCTTCGGGTTAGTGGGACTTTTCACTTTCTCTGGTTTGCTTGTTGCGTCCTTTGCCGTAGCTTTCTCCTTCGTCTCATCGTTTTCTTGCCCTTTTGATTTGAGTATATGCTTACGGCTTGTTTTCTGCTCTTGATTGTCATCTGCCTTCTCGTCAGCTTTCTTGTCGTCCTTATTGACTTCATTTAATGAAGCTTTGCGCTTCTATAAAATAGATAATAAGATTTTAATATTTTTGGGAGCAGCATCAATTGGAGATTTAGTTAGAGTATAAAGCTGTTCAAGCATGAGCACTGCTGCAATTTTAGTTGCTACACCTGGCAACTTATAAAAAATTTAAACTTTTTATTTTAAAATGCCACAAATCTAAAAATTTATAATTATCTTTTCGAAATTTTAGTATAGTATTTGAAATACGCTTTTTATAAATTTAAGGGTAAAATTTAAATACGTATAAGCTAAAATTTAAAATTTAGCGACTCTAGCTAAAAGAAGAAGGAGGTAAAATTTTATAGCTGACTTTGGAAAAAAATTGTAAGTCTCTAGCTCTGACATCGGACGGACAGACATATGGCAGACAACAATATATATAAGTATATACATTATGGGGTCTGCCACGCCTCCTTCTGCCTGTTACATACTTTTAATAAAACCATTATACCCTGATTTCCCATTGGGCTCAGAGTATAAAAATATACTATCCATGCATTTCATGGAAGAATCGACATCGGAAACTCAGCATTTAGTTTTCTGTTGGACAAGTTTACTGACATTGAGTTTCACTTCTTAAAACATATGTTCATACATATGTATGTCTGTATATTTGTTGAAAAGTGAAACTTTTAATGGTTTAGCTATTTTTTCGGCAACTTTCACCAAATTTTCAGCTATTTATCTTCCCCTAGCAACTTTTGCCTTGGATATTCTGACAGCACTGAACACGAGCACGTTAATTGTAAACAATTTGCTATCTAGCATAGGGGCATGACTCATGAGCAAAGCACTAGTGCCCCTTGCTCAAGTTGCACATAGTGGGAAATTATGCATTGGATACATCTCATATCCATTGCATGGCAAAAATTCTAATTAAAAGATTTCAAATAAGCACGCACTGAAAATGAAAGAGTTTAGCTAGCAGCGTGGTAACTTTCGCTAGTTTGCATGGGAAATAATTGAATAGATGAGGTATACATTGCCAAATTTATATTGAAAATCATAAGACTTACTTTTTTCTCCGAAGAAGTTTCATTTTCGTTTGTGGCTGAGCGAATTAATTTAATTTTTGCACTTTTATCAGCGCTTTCTGCCATGTTTATACGATTTTTTCTCAAAATTTCGCACAATTTTAATTTGCAAATCTTCACAATTAAATTGAACTTGTCAACTGCAAGACGAACTGCTTCGCTGTCACTTATTAGTGCTGCGCAATTCGATAACGATTGGGGCCAGTGCACCCCAAAGAGCAATCAGCTCTTAACACTGCAGCTTATTTTCCTGGTCTGTCCACGTTAACCAATACTAGATTGAGCAGAAGGTGACAAGGCTTATTGAGAGATAAATGCAGCTATTTACATATCTCTTGTGTCTCCTATATATCAAATACATGCATATATGTATCTCTCTTTACCTGAAGCTACTAAATGCTTCACTTAATTCAATGCAGCGCCAAATGGGGAACAGCAAAAGAGCTCGCAGTGCAAATTCTCTGCGAGCCACATACATACATAGGTGAGGGCGGCCTAATGTCCGACCAAATACAAATTGCCAAACGCTGGTCATTAATCTTGAATGCCTTGCAAAGTATCATGCAAAACGGCAGAACAAAAAACAAAACAAAAAAAAACTCTTACACATTGCTGTCCGACGCTCGCCGGCCGTCGATGGTCGGTCGTATGTTAATGGCTGGCAGCGACGAGTATTTAGGCAAATGTGGTTCCAGCTGACAAGAATCAACGACAGCAACCACAGAAGCTAGCACAACAGATAGGGCGCAACAATGGCTGGCCATAACAGATACAACAACAGCTACAACAACAGCAACAAGCACTACGACAACAATGACATCAATAGGCGCAATTGAAACAAGTGTTGTCACGCCGCTGCCGTCGACTGCGACGCTGCTGTCCTGGCCAAACGGCTGACAGGCCACAGTCCTGACCAGGCCCATTGGCCCGTTTACCCGTATACCCTAGCAAAATAGTGGGATTAATCCAGTTGAAAAAGCACATAAATCTAATGGCCAAAAGCTCTCAAAGTAGTTTAGAGCATAAAGGCTGCATTCATCATGGGGACATTTTTAGTTTTTGCCTTAGCTCTCTAGTGGAATATATATGTATATATATATATGCATGAGGATTCTCATTAAGTCGAACCAAAGACAATTTTTATGGATTTGCACGTAACGTAACGGGTATTTAGCGCACGCCCGTGCTTATTTTAGAGTATCCAGACTTTGTTTTGCTTAGCGCTTATTGTTTACCGTTGTGCGCGCTTTTATTTGACCTATATAGACGCGTCTAGCTGCGCCTCACTTGGCACAATCGACAAGGGGGCGGGGTGCCATGGCGCTAAGGACTATACAAAGTGACATGCTTGGCTGAACATTCAATTGCTGCCGTTGTTGTCGCTGCAATTATACAAATTAATTTCGAGACAAAGGCGTACAGATTGTTTTGCACAGTGTGCTGTGGGCTGGGCGTGGCACTGGGAGTTGAAAATACCAGACAGATAAACAAGGTAACGGAAAGGAAAATGGAACCAAAAACAATGGCAAACATTATCGCATGGCCATCGATGGTTTGTCAATGGAGGCGAGCATCTTCTTAGACCAGTGAACACATAAACTGCAAGCGTCTAGTGCTGCTGCAGCTGAGAAATTGCCATTCCCCAAACCCCAATACCTCAATACCCCAATACCCATTTCCCATTTCGCATCATCCGTTGTCCGACTAAAGCAGCGCCACGGGTGTCCACGCGATATGCGGCGTTGTTCTTAGCGGGATTTCTCATAGCTAACATCATTGGCATCCCAAGCATAGTTACGCCCACGTTGTGTGAGTGCTTAAGGGGGGTCAGCACATTCGTTTCGCTGAAAGCATTTGCCATGTTGTTCTTTTGTTTTATTTCCTCTCGAACCGCTCTCGCGCTCAATCCGTTTATTTTTCCTTTTTGCGAATGCAATCATGCTGAATTAACCTTCACCTCGTCATCGTCCATGCAATCCATTTAAGCTGTACGCTTTCGGAAATATGTATCTTTAAGAGAGACACGTTTCAGCTGCAGTGCTGCGCTTCACAGTGGCCCATTAACAGCGACTTGCGCTTCTGTTAAGAGTGCTCCGATTTAATACCGATAAATAATAGGAAAAATACGATGAAATGATATAAATGTAAGTGCAAGTTAATATTATAGAGCTTTGTTAACAGCTGCACATTAACAGCCGAGACTTAATGTTACTGTTGAAACTGTTATGAGTTATACATATATATATATATATATATATATATATATATATATATATATATATATATATATATATATATAACTATAGTTTGAGACTACAGATTGAGACTGCTAAGACTAAAACTGTTAGCTAAGAGCTATACATCAAAATTAAGATTTAATAATGTTAACTAAGACTGCTAATACTGTTAACTAAGAGTTATACGAAAACACTATGATATTTGATAACACTTATTAGTGTACTGAGATTTATTTGTCTCAGCTCCCATAAAAGCTGCCCGTTAACAGTCATTTGCGATAACATAGTACTAACATATTCAACATAACAGTGCAGCCAGACGTTATCTGCTAGCTAACAGTTATTAGCAACGAATGAGTGTGCACTTTCATTCCAAAATATGCCTAGGCTAAGTCTGTATAAATCGTAGCTATCTCAACAGCTGTTGGAAGCTGCACTTAGTATTAACAGATGTTGACTTTTATGGCGACTGTTCAGTGTTTGGCTGTTAACTAATTGCTGTCTCAATGGTCCCCTGTTGGACATATTTAATCCACATATAACTGCCCTATACAAAAAGTACTTGGACACTCGAATCGTTCTATCAAGTGCTTTATTAATGGGTTCCAGTGTTTGGCTCGCATTTTCTGCAAACGTTGCAGCAAAACTTTGGCCTGGTTCAAAATGCTGTTTTTCGACAGTTTTTTTCGGTTTTATTTGACGTTTTTTCGTTTGTTTTTTGTTTTTTTTTTTTTTTTTTTTTTTTTTTTTTTTTTTTTGGGTTCTCACGCAGCAGTCGCCGCCAACAAGGCGCGGAAATTGGGCAGCCAGCCAGGGCCAGCCAACGTATCCATGCGTTGCATCGAGACACGGGGCCTGGCTGGCTTTTCGCTTTCAAATGCCTATGCAACAATGGGGCTGTGGAGGAGGGGGGCTGGCGCGCGGGGCGAAGGGAGTGGCCTTTTTTGCAAGTGGTTTGATTTGTGATTTTGGCATTCTTGTGTGTGTCGCTAGCTGCTTAAATCTGAGCTGGCTTTCGATTTTGTGGGTCGCACAATTTATGCGCACTTTATGCGTTTGCCCAAGTCGTGACTTGGACCCAACAGATTACAGCGCGGAGCTTGGAACCGACGTTATGTAATGTGCGTGTGCGTGTGCGTGTGTGTGCGTGTACGTGTGTGGGGGCCTGCGTTGCGCTATTAAGTGAGAGTTGCACCTAGTTGTTGCACCAGATTCAAGCGGCAGCTGCAACTTGTTCGCTGCCTGCGAGGCAGAACAATTAACAACGTCGACTGTTGCGCACAAATGCATTTTAATAACAGCCAATTACAGCATTCAATACAAATTGTATACGCATAATTGTTGCAAAGATTCTGAGCTGTTTCAATGCAGTAGCGAGTAGAGAATAACCAGCTCTGAGTGCCGAAAAGTTCTCGCGATTGCAATAGATCAAGAACTATTGACTTAAATGAAGAAAGCTGAGCGAGTGGCGAAGAGTTGGTGGAATACAAATAGCATATACGACAAGCAATGGCAAATAAGTATGAATAATGTGATTTGAGATAAGGATAGAGGGTAGAAGTGAGTAGAGAGTGGCGAGTAGCGAACGAGGAGTAATTGTAGGAGCGTGGAATGACTGACGATAGAATACCAAACGAGTACAAAGTGAGGTAGCGTGAGCGTTGTGAGAGTAGCGAATGAAGAGTAACGAGTAACAAGTAACGAGTAACGAGTAACGAGTAGTGGACAGAGGAGAAGAGCAGTGAACAGTAGATCTAACGAGCTAGCACAGAGTAAAAAGTTAAAAGAAAGAATGAATGAATAGCAATAAAGAGGGGAGAATTTAAAGAGAATTGTACGTAGTAAATGTAGAAAAAGTAACAGAGATGAACCTGAGAAAGTACTATTTAGTGATACGTAAATAAAATTAGCAACAGAGCAAAAGATAAGCAACAATGAGAATAAACATAGATAGTCAGTGCCTAAATTTTGTATTTACTCTAATCTCCAATAAATAAATACATAAAGTAAAATTATAAAAATAAATCTATCAAGTTATCGATTTAATCGGCTGTTGTAGCACAATCGAATGTGGGCAAAAATGAATGGCGCTCACAGAGCAACGAGTGAATGAATATAGAAGAAAGGAGCTAGTCACCTGATTCATGAAAAAAAAAAAAAAAAAAAAAAAAAAAACATCTTGCTGCTTAACTGTTTGGTTTTTACTACATTTTGTCACTTGCTGACTTTGTAGTTCATGAAGTGCGTATGAAGCAAGTTAGTTGTTCCTGCTGCCGCATGCCGCATGCCGCAGTTGGTTGCATGGAATTTCCTTGACCGGATCAGCAAATTAGTCAAAAACAACAGCAACAATCAATAATAACAATTTCCAATTAAACAATGATGCCTGATGCGATTTCGATTAACTTGAATCTGCAGCGCACTGAAAGCCAATCAGCAAATGGGCAGAGCAACAACGTTGAGGCGGGTGTTGGCTGCAAGCTGCAGCAGCGGCTGCGTCTGCGTCTGCGTCTGCGTTGCATTGCGTTGGCCGCGCCTGCGCAGTGCGAGCATTCACAATGAGCAGACAGCGGTTTGTCGCCGCGGCTGCCTGCTTTGCCAAAATGTTGGCATTGCAAACCCGTTTACCAGCGGCTGCTGCTGCCACTGACGCTGGACCATATTTTCCCAGCGGCTTTTAATCATGCGGCGCTGTATAAATAAGCGCAAAGAACGCGACACTGAGACAGTTTTCGATTCGAAGCCTAACAGCCCGGTGCAGCAAATCAGTTACAAAAACTACATTCAACGTTTTTTTTTTTCACGTGAAGTAAACTTAAAATCCACATTCACAAAATGGCATTCAAGGTGCGTAAGGACTCAAGTGAATGCATTGTGTGTGTGTGTGTGTAAGAGTGTGTGAGCGTCTGTTCTACAGACTACCTGACAGGATACGCTGACAAGGACACAGCCATTTGCCAAGCTCCTTTTGTCCGTTGAGAGCTTTATCGTTGCATTAGTAAATATTTGAATTCTGATTTCTGCTCAATTCTAGTAAATTCTGCTAAATTCCTCCCTTGAATCTCTGACCGCTTTTCTAGCATTTGCTGCAAATTTACATTTTCCGTATAATTTTGAGCAATTCGACCAACGTTTGGCCCACATGAAGATTTTCAGTCTTTGTAATCCATATTATTTTGTTCTCTTTGTTTTGTTTTTTTTTTTTTTTTTTTTTTTTTTAAGCTTTGGGTACCTGACATTGTGTTTGGCTTTTCGCATTCCGTTAGGTCGAGCATTTTGTGTATTTATGTTATTTTTAGCTTTTCAACAATAATCTCTCCAATTCAACGTAAAATTCCTACGTTGAAGCTTTCAAAGCCCCACTCAGGTGCAAAAATGTGCGAAAAGTTAGATAAACTTCTCGTCCAATTTATACACAAATTCATTAATCTCAGTGAAACTAGCTGCAATTTGGACAAAGTTATTTACTTACAGCCTTAAAAGTGACTTAAAGTTTCAGCTAATGGCTCAAAGAGTGGAGACTAGAAAAGTAGAGAAAAAGAAAACACACACACACTCTTTCGCCTGGGACGCCATAATTGAATAATTTCAGCTGTCACTGCCAGGCGGCCTTATCGAATTAAAGTTTCAAAAAATTGGCTAAGCTACGCAAATCGCAAACTTTTTAATTTAAGCTCCGTGCAACTTTGGCCGAAACAGATTGACCTCCGTTGTGCTTTGGCTCGCTTTGAAAGTCAAAGCAAATGCTGCTAAAAGTGAAGCTGAAGGTAATCGAGCGTCTTAATGCTAATTAGCTGGCTCAAGACGCGCAATTAATAAGCAGCCGAATGCCGAATGCCGAATGCTGAATGCAAAGAAAAGCCAATCAATATTATAAATATGCAAAGGCGAAATAGCTGCGTAACGGCAATCAGAAGTGGGTCAAGTGGGCAAATCTGAAATATCCTCGAGCTGTCCTCGAATGCCATTCACGTGTTAAGAGCTACACGTCCTGGCATCAGCTGATGCCAGCTTCGTTCAGCTCCGTTCTGCTGTCCACTTAAAGTAAATGCTGTAGACTTTGCCATCCACTGCTCAGTTTTGTTTAAATGTTCTTTTTCGTTGGACCGTTGGACCGTTGGGCCGTTCGCCGTTCGTGCGGCCTTGGCCACGGTGCCGGCCCATTCTTGTCCGGCAGTGAGTTACGCTTAATTAAAATCAGATAAATACCCAAAGACAAATAAAACCCGCGCCAAGTCAACTGCAAGTCGGGCACGTCAGCCAGCCAGCGAAGAACAACAAAACACAGCGGAAAAGCAACGGAAATGATATAAAGTTTAAATAAAATATAAATACAAAAACAAAAAAACAAAAAAGAAAAGAGGCCAACCGAACTCCCTAGTGGGCCGCCGACTTTCGTAGCGTCTCCTCTTTTTGCATTTTTACGCGTAAATTGAAATTCAATGGAATTGTTTACAAAAATGTAAAAGTAAGGTCACAAAGGACAGTCGAAAAAAAAAACAACACATACACACCCAAGCAAACCAAACCCAAAGTACGCAAAGAGACAAAAAGCAAATGGTCAACATGTCAGACCAGCCAGATTAGTTTTCAAGAAAGCTAGTGCGATAGGACAATTTAAATTCCGCACAGAACTCAAACAGAAAAAGAAAAGGAATCATCCAACAAAGGACGAGTTGCATGTAACGAGTTTCAGGAAGCAAATGTTCAGTTCGCAGCCCCTACAGCGCAGAGTGCGATGGGGCGAGCAGTTGCGTAACAGACCAGCGAAAAGCCTGGGAAGGACAAATAGCACAGAGAACTCCACAGAGAGGGGCAGGCGATGGGTAACGAAAAGGCAGTGCAATGCAGTTGTTGCAATTGATTAGGAAGAGAGGAAAGCGACGAGTAATCGATTATATTAGTAACTAGTAGCAAGTATATTAGGGGGAATAAATTAAGGGGCAGTAGGTGATAGGAATATATTAAGGAGTAACATGCGACGAATAACTTATTAAGGGCTGTAAAGTAAAGAGTAGAATGTGACGAGTAGCGAGTAAGGAATAGTATACGACGAGTAGTTACTAAGGGGAATACAGCAAAGAGTTGTAAGTGACGAGAACGTATTAAGGGGAAACATTCGACGAGTAACTCAATTAAGGGTAATAAAGTAAAGAGTAGCATGTGACGAGTAACTATATTAAGGGGAATAAAGTGCGAGACTAATACATAATACAATAAAACGACGAGTAACTAACAACGAGTGACACTTACCATGCGACGGACAATTACTACAGAGAATAAACTAATGAAGATTAATTAGACATGAGAGACGAAGAAAGAGTATGCAGAAGTAAAGAATAACTAGTAACAATTTAAAAAAAAGAAGAAGAAAAACCAATATGCATGTGACTTATAAATACGCATGGAGCTATAAACAACAATGGGCAACTAGTAGCGACTAGTCAATATACTAGAGCGAATGAAAAAACGATTAGTAAACGTCTAGTAACTCGCAAAGATATCAGAGAATGTCCACCAAAATGCTTGAGAGCATTGACAAATTAGCTAATTACGAGTAAATATTTAAATTGTGAGCAACCGGACGATGGCTGAGTGAGAAGCGACCCTGGGCCATTTACTGTCTGAGCGTTGTGGAGTTCAATGCGGGCTACGTAATTGATATGAATTAAGTACTGTCATATGTTAATATATAAAGCAGTTAGCCAAACAGAGAGAGAGAGAGAGAGAGAGAGAGAGGCCATGACAAAGTGCAAGCAAATATGTTCACTAAATATCACGCATACGACGCATTGCACAGGCTACAGTGTTGAAGCTATAGAGAGAGAGAGAATGAGTGAGTGAGAGAGAGAGAGAGAGAGAGAGAGTGAGAGAGGAAAGTAGATGGCGAGTAGTGAAAAATTTGAATTTCCAACTACTTTGCAAACTTAATTAAAAGTTTATGCGCCTGCAATTTCCTAGTGCGTCGTGTGCTCCCTGTCGATATGCAAGCCAAATACAAATGAGTTGTCAGCCGACAGCTGGGTTCACTAAATTATGCATGTGTGTGTGTGTGTGCGTTTGAGTGTGTGTGTGTGCAAGTGTATCAGTATCGCATCCGTGTTGTGCTTCAAGTTCTATACTATAATAAGTATTTATCTATGCAGGTCATCTTCTGCATTGCCGCCATGGCGATTGCCTGCGCCCAGGCCAAGCCCGGCGGCCCAGCTGCCTACTCGATTAACGCGCCCAGCGTGGACCACGCCTCCGTTGGCAATACACAGGAGCATACGGTGAAGGGACACTACGGCCAGTCATCGCAGTCGGACTACACCAGCCAGGTGCAAACCGCCCATTCGCAGTCGCATGTGCAGCGCTCCAGCATCAGCAATGATGGCGGTTTGGCGCCTGCTCATTATGCTGGTGAGTGAACTAAAGCCTTCAAGCGTACACACGCACACGCACATGCACACATATACTCACACATGCATCACCCACTTTGATATTCACAATACGCACAAAGCACTCACTATTCATTGAATATGCACGTAGTTGATATGCTAACACAAAACAAAAAAAAAAAAAAAAAAAATCCGCAAAATCAATCTATAGCCGCGCCACAAGTTGCCACCTACGCAGTCGGACACACTGCACCCGCCCAGATCCAGCTGACCAGCGGCCACGGGGCCTTGAGCCAGGGCCTGGCCTACGGCGGACACTACGCAGCCGCCGCCGCACCCGCCATCGCCTATGGCGGCCACTACGCCTCCGCGCCCATTGCAGCCTATGGCGGCCATTATGCAGCCACGGCGCCCGCTCTCCAGCTCTCGGGCGGCTCCCACCTGAGCCTGGGCAGCCTGGGCTATGGCTATGGATATAGCGCAGCTGCTGCCGCACCGGCTCTCTCCCACGGCTACCAGCTGGCCGCCCCAGCCGCTGCTCCGATTGTGAAGTACGCCGCCGCTCCAGCCTATGGTAGGTGTTCGTCGGATCCATTGTAGACTCTTAAGCAGCTGCTAATCTCTGCACCTCTATGCTTAGTCGTAGTGCCTAATGTAAACTGTAGTCGCAGTAGTCGTAGCTTTTACTAATTTTCCAGCCACGCACGTATTCAACACTTTTCTTTCAGCTCCTGCCGCAGCCTCTGTCTCGGTCTCACCTCTGTCTCTGCCTTTGGCTTTGCCTCTGCCTTTGTGTGTTCAGTTTCCTTTTGCTTGGCTTCTGCAATAGTTTATTGTACTTTCGCTTTGGCCAGCCAAGTATACATGGCCAAAAGCAAACCTAATGCTCGGCAAATACAAAGTACAACTTTTCCTCGAATCAAGCCACGCTGCAGTGAAGCGGGGGCGGGGTGGGGCATTTGAGCTGGGGTCGTGTGCTTAAAGCAGTGTGAACAATCTGAGCCAAACACAAACATTAACTCTGTCAGCCAGACTGGAGGTCTGTCGAGAAGTGAGATAAATTCGTTGAATTTTAGGACCCAAATCCTAAACCAGACAGATCTCAAAACATGAAAGTTTAAGCTGGACTGGGGCCATAGACTAACCCACAATAGAGATTATATTTTACTACAGTTATTATTACAGAGAAAATCTTTATTTGCATTCATTTCTATTTACTTTTATTTGCAATCCTCTGTTGGCTCTCAGTCCTTTTAGCTGGAGACTCCATAGCTCCTCAAAAAAAGGGGGGCTCTTTAAGTTATGCTAGCTGAAATTATAGACAAATGCACAATCAATATGCAATTATGCAATTATTTCATAAATATTTGAGCAGCTACCTGCGCTAGTTGAAATGTGCCTCATGCATTATCTATATGAAATGGGCGTGGCAGTAGTTGCTGACGAATGTCGAAGTGAACATTCGGCCACTGTCGCTGCTGCTTAGCGAAAGAGAAAGAGAAGGAATCAAACAGTGCGCGACAGACAGAGAGGGAGGGAGTGAAATGGGGCATTGGAGACACCCGTAAGAGTAGTTCGTTGGGACAGCCATGTCGGTCAACGCAAGCCGTATAATCAATCATTCATATATTGTTGCCAACTACTTTAAGCCATTGACACGCGGTCTCTTCGCACACGATGACGATGATGATGATAATGATGATGACGATGGTAATGGCGATGTGTGCGTATCGCTTTTCAAGTGGGGCAGTCAGTTTGTCAGCCATTTGAACAAGTGGCATTTGGCATTGCGGACGCATTTGCCACGCCTCGAGAAGTCAATGGGACAGACGCCTTCGACCAGCTGGCCAATCTATGCCAAATGCAGCGTTGCCACACTTCACCGTGTCTTACTACTTATTTGCACTTTATTTTTTACGACCTGCGCTGTTGCCATAGCTCACAGTGCATATGAGTTTCTGCAAGCAGTTTATTTTCATTTTCGTGCGCTGTTGTCGCATTTCACTCAAGCATGGCTGACACCGTTCCTTAAAGTGAAAGACAGCCAGTGTTGAGCAATGTTCATTTATTTACTTACGCTATTGGCAAACTTCAGTCTATTGGCCATTGAGCAATGTTGCCACATTTCATTAAAGTGTCTGCATCGTTGTCTCCTTTGCCTTTGATTATAATTACTTATGTTGACGTACTTGCAATTTTGCCCCACTTCAGATTCGTTAACATAGCAATGTTGCCACATTTCACATTGCAAAGTTGCCTCATTTCAGCTTTCTGCTGCTTAGCAATGTTGCCACATTTCATTTACTTACTTATGTTAACGTATTTGCAACGTTGCCTTACTTCTGCTTTCTTCAACTTAACAATGTTGCCACTTTTCATCCAACTACTTGCGACGTTGTCTCACTTCAGTTTTCATTAGCTTAGCAGTGTTGCCACATTTCTTTCGACTACTTGCAACGTTGCCTCATTTCTCTTTCCTTACTATTACTTATGTAAAAGTTTTTGCAACGTTGTCTCACTTCAGCTTTCATCAACTTGGCAATGTTGCCACATTTGTGCTTGCAACGTTGCCTCCCTGCACTTTCCTTGTAGTTATTGACCCAGCGGGGACAGCACCACTGTTTCGTATGCTTGCGCCAACGTCTTGCCACATTGTAGCACAGGTTCCAGCAAATCATTTCATGTTGGCTCGACAGTACAAAATTGCAGACCTTGCCTCGCCAGTTGATTGATGTCGACTTGTCAGTTGCCATGTGCTCGCAAGGCGACCGAACCTGCCGAGATCCCGAGGTGTTCGCCCCAAACGGCCGGCCAACTGTTTGCCCTCTCGTAACAATGGCCCAATTTGCAGCATCTGCGGGCACGCGGACATTTCCATTGTTACGGCTGACAATCAGTATTGGCCCAGCAGTTATTGATCGCTGCCCGATAGCCCTGGAATCTGAACTTGTTATACCTAGCCGTACCTGCATGCTGGCCAACTCTCCGACTCTCATACCGATTATGCATTATCATTTGCATTGCCATTAGCATTAGCATTACCATTGCCATTCGGCTGCTAATGCGAGCTTCTGTCTGCTTCTGTTCCACAGCACCTGGCATCATTGGACACGGCATTGGACTTGCTGCCGCACCCGCCTACGCAGCGCCCGCCTATGCCACGCATCTGGCCGCCCCAGTGCTCAAGTGAGTAATGCCAGCCGGTTTTATAAATAGAGATGGATCGCAGCGTGCGGCATGCTGCATGCAGCAGCAGATATGCAGCAGGAGGCATACGGCATGCGGCATGCGGCACGTTGCATGCACATCATGTTCTTGCCACTATTCTACCATCTATCCACACAGGGCCGCCGTCGCACCTGCCCTGGTGCACACCTCCGTCTCCGGCCATGGCATTCAGTACGGCTACTAGAGCAGCGAGATGAGCCAACGTAACCAACCATCCCCCCCGGCATGGAGCAAAGGACTAAAAATAATATTCGTGTCGAGCTAAAAAGCTTCTAATGCAACTCAAATTCACAGCTGCAGCAAGTGGCGACGTTGCCACATTTCAGTGCACCTTTTCATTTCGGAATCTGTTCTTGTTGATATATATATTTTTTTTTGTTTTTTTCTCCTCGCTCTCTGAATTTTGCACACATCTGTTATTATTTGATAAGCATTGGCCAGGCTCCATGTCAACCAACGGAAAGTCTTTTTATTGCATGAATATTAATTTTCGTCGTTTTCTCCGTATATTGTGCGTGTGTTTTTTTTTTTTTTATCGCGGTTGAATTTACGTTTTATTTAAAGTTATTTTGTACAGAAAATGCATGTGAAATGTTGGAAAAAAATAAAAATCATTTTATACATAACATCTTTATTCATGCTGACTTCAATTTGATGTACCCCACCCCCCATGCAGAGGTAGTTAGTTCTGTTGGGCTTTTCATTTCCCTTTTTATTTTTATTTTGTGTGTGTGTGTGTGTGTGTGTGTGTGTGTGCTGGCTATCATTGCCATGAACTGGCCGCTGTTGGGACGCAGTCCCAATACTGCAGTTACAAGATGATATATGGGCGCCAAAAACTATGCTACGATTTATTTGCCACGCTCCAGTTGAGCACTTGCCATACGTAGTGCATAGTTTATGGCGCAGTGCGTGGAATTTATCATAGTCGCAACATATATGAATACGAGTATCTGCCCAGGCCACAGGCTTAGCTCCGTCTCTCCAGCTCGTCCATGTGCGAAAGTATTAAAGTTCAAATGACCAAAGCCCTTCTCTTTTTATTCATTTCATTTTTATTTTTAAGAGCGCGTTCGCCTTTTATGCCGCATGCGCCTCGCCCAGGCCAGATTTAGCACAATGAAGCGTATTTTTAGATAAATGCTAAAAAAAGAAAAAGTGCGAGTAGAACGATGTCAACATGTCAAAGCATAAGCCAAAGAAAAAAAAAAAAAAAAAAAAAAAAAAAAATGACATGCAGAACGTGAAATGAACTGAAAAAAAAAGTACAAAAATATTTAGAGCGATTTATAAATGCACATTCAAATTAAGTGAATTGTTTATAGTAGTGACTGTAGCTATTTACATAGATATAAATATTCATGTTTACTCATTTACGAGGTGAGAGAGCATATTGGCTTTGCAGAATGCCCGTCTTACTGTCCGTGCCTCAATCCTTTCCCCCTGGACTGGCCTGAAATATATAATTATTTTTATATATATACTCGTTAGTAACGATATGCTTATAAGGGGCGTGAAAAATTCTATTCGAAGCTCTAAGCTATTTAAATTGCTAGAGACTTGATGTGAAATTTGAAATTTGAAATATGTACTTGGCTAAGATAAATAAGATATGACGAATATATATATATATATATATATATATATATATATATATATATTATATATATATATATATATATATATATATATATATATATATATATATATATATATATATATTCCTTAATTAACGACTATTTTTCGGCTCATGTTCTTTATTATAAATTAATATTTATATATCAATAAATAAATAAATAAAGTTTTTTTAATACAATATAATGAAACTAAAGTTTCAAAATGGTATAGTTAGTTAGTAACTTAACAGACTTTTTGCAGACCCAATTGCTTTTGGGTCCTGCATGAGTATTAAGCAGTCGATAACGCCCGATTGAGTAAACATATTTTGCGATTTTCTCTTTAAAGGCTTACAGAGACATTCCACACCAATTAAATATTGCCAACATATGTAATATTCATATTTGCAATGAAAATGAAATTGATATTCATTGAAAATGGTTTCTCTGGCTGAAGGCAGTTTTAATGAAGAAATATTCATCGGGCTGCGCATACAAATAACATAAATTATTATTATTGTAAGAGAAAATAATAGTAATTGTCTAAGGAAACACGAATTTCGGGCTGTCAATGTGGCAAAGCAACGACGACATATTGTTTACTTGTTAAAGTCTCAGCAACTGCAGAGACAAACACACACACACACACACACTAACATATAACAGCGCATGGCATTCAAATATTGATTCAAGATTTTGTGGCCCTAGAGGCAGGCACAGCAAACATTTCAGACAAGCAGCTGGATATCAATTAAGATGCAAAGTTATGCCAGACTCTGGCACAACAACAACAACAACAACGACAACAACAACGGCGACAATAAAGTAACGGCCACGCCCCAGCGCCAGTGCGTGCCGTGACTTGTGGCTTATTTGATTTGATTTAGCCAGCATGTTAAATTCAGCAACAGTTGTCCGCCAAATACTGTTGGCATTTTCATTTAGAGCGAACACAATGCAAATGCAAACAAAAGCCGACTCCTGTTCGCTGGCAACTCGGGACACCTGGGCCCAAGGTCGCGTCCCGATGTAAATACCGCTGCTGAGCAGCTGAAGGAGCCCCAGCAGCAGAGAAGACAGCCGGAATGGGGAACGCGAAGCCAAAACACAACAATTTCATTAGCAAATGCAGTCGAGAGACAAACAGAGAGAGAGAGAGAGAGAGAGAGAGAGAGAGAGAGAGAGAGAGGGAAGAGCAGAGATAGAGGGGCAGAGCTGGGTGTTGCTTGTATTGAGGCAAGGCCAGCTCAGTCAGCTCCGTCAGCTTCTCGACAGAGCTAAGCGACCACTGCAAGACGCCAAAGCAGTGCACAGAGGCAAATAGAGAAGAAGAAGAAACAGCAGCAGCAGGAGCAGCAGCAGGAGTAGAAGCAGAAGAGAAGCAAAAACAAACAACTTTTACAAAGGTCGTCACTTAACTATTCAAAGTTGGCAATGGCGAATGCTCTACCGAATAAATACAAATCGTTTTGCGTATTCCTCTTCAACCTTCTTCTTCTTCTTCTTAAACTTATTCTTATTATAGTTGGCAGCCAAAAGCAGCGCTGCAAGCGGCGGATGACCCTCATGGAGTAAGTTAGGTAAGTCCGTAATGGGACTCGGTCTGAAGCCCTAGCAGAGCTGCTTCGTGCTTTAAATTGAGCTAATGGCGTCGTTCCATATCTCTTCTATATATTAAATATTAAACTCAATGAAACATTACAACTACTTATATAATAATAATAAATAAAATACTGATGTGGATGTGTCTCTGATGATTCAGCTGCTGCACGAAATGGCCAATATAAATATGGACTCTATTAAATTTTAGGGGACACATCCGTAGAGAATCCTTGTTTTATTACGCAGGCCAATTAAGCGAGGGTCGTTCGCAAAATACATGAAATGAAATGTTTTACTATCAGAGGCCTACGGCGAAAAAAAGCCGTGCAAAGCGTAGGTGAATCGGCAGCTAGCGAATGAGAGCTCAGTGGGTAGAGGGTAGAGGGTAGAGGGAAATGGAAAATGGGCGTGGGTTGGCCACTGCCGTGTTGAGCATTGCAGAACATATTTGAATAAAAAATTTCAATTTGGTGCGTTCGGCAAACACAAATGTTCAATGCAGACAGAGCTGACAAAAAGATGGTCAACACAGCCAAAGCCAAGCACAAACACACACTCTCACACACACACGCACACGCACACATAGACATAGGCTGGCTGGGCATGTGGTGCGCGTCGCTTCCTGTTCATTTCCCCAGGTGACAGCACGCACGGAGTGACAAAGCGAGACCCAAAATGTCTGGCAATATGAAACGCAGCCAAGTCAACACCTTGACTAATCCTCACCTCACACACTCGAGCAGCTTGATGAACAGTTCTGGCCAAGCCTGTGCCGTGTGCTGCATTGCAGAACTTCAAGTTTGCAACGCATTTCGGTTACCTGTGGCATATGCGGCATGCCGCAGCAGAAACAGCAAACAGCAAACTTTAACTAATTTAGATCTGTATGCATGTGTGTCTGTGTGTGTGTGTGTGTGTGTGTGTGGGCTTGTACGTGCCAGCTTCAATTAAGCAAATAGTTTGCCTTCACTGTGTATTCTAGCAACTGACCGACTAAACGAACAATTTGGTTTGCCTAATTCTCTGGGTCAGACTGAATTCAATCTGTGTGCATACAAATTATACTAAATAGAAACTAAAGCTAAACTCAATGCCTGCTGTTCAAGCATGAACTGTTGGCAGTGCGACTTCATAGACATGTAGCATGCTAAAATTAATTTCAGGTGGACATCAAATTGTCTATCCAATTGAATGATGTTCAACATATTTAATATGGATTGACCGCACTGGAACTCAAGCCATACTTCCATCCATTCTTGGTATTTAAACAGAATGAAATAATTATATATGTATTATTTGCTTATGTGGGTATACTTAATTTATTTGATAGATTTATATATTTAGGCTTGTGTAACTCCCAAAAAAAAAAAAAAAAAAAAAAAACTCCCTTTTACAAGTCACACTGTTAACGATTTATGCCTTTACTAGACATTGCTCAGAGCGGCTTAAAGGAACAGATGAGTGAGCTGGAATGATATACAATAAAATCTACATAGCGTGAGTAACACTAATATTAGGGGTTTTTTTTTTTTTAACTTCAACTTCAAATGCCTATAAAACATATAATATTAATTGAATTGAAAAATTGAAAAATAATTTTTCCCATGAGGTATATATCAATATATTTAACATAACTAACAAAGATTATACATAAGCCGGAAAAAAAAGTAGAAAAATTAAAATAAACGAATACTTTACTTACTGTATGTTGAGCTCAGATGCGTGAGCTACATCGATCCATGCTGAGCTGGTCTTAAAATTTTTATCCAATATCAGGACTCTTCTTAAAATACTCCTCCTAAATATTCACATTAATACAAATAACTTATCTCTCTTACATTTACTCACACAAATAACTGTAGAGTGTTGCTCTATGTCTGCATATGAGTGACTTTTACACACACTCTGAAGAGAGGTCCAGAGAGCAATCGATGGTTTCGACTCTTCAACGAGTTCGTTCGCGATCTGTTCTTCTGTTGTGTGTGCTTTAGTGTGTGTGAGAGTGTTGTCTTCCCTAAGCAGATCAATAGCGTACATAAATTGAGCGAGTGCATATGTATGCATGTGAATGTGAAGTCAATGTGTGACTCTTTGAGCCATTTGCTTTCTTATTGAATTTCATTGGGCGAACGTCAATCGTATCTCTCTCCACACACGATGTTCGTTAAAAAGAGCAAAGCTCAAGGCGTCCAACAGAAGAGGAAAAACGAAACAAACCGAAGTCTTGTGCCCTAACCGAGAGGGAGAGAGTAAGATTAATTTCGAGAACGTCTAAATGTTATGAGAAAGCTATGATTACATCTGAGAGCAATTGGAGCACGGCCCACTAATAATCTTTCTTATGGCTTCAGCTATAGTCTTTCGTTTTATATATAAATAACAAGGCGAAGGCCTCAGTCGCCCCTGAA